CCCTAAAACCTGAACCCTAAACCCCTAAACCCTAAACCCTGGGTCTGGCCCAAGCGAAGGAGTCTCTCCTCCTGGATCCGGAGCCTTCTGCACAGGCAGTGCTGGCATGGATGTCCGTGGTGCTGCAGGAGACCTGGGCGGGTTTAGGGTTGAGGGTTTTAGGGTTTAGGGTTGAGCGTTTAGGGTTGAGGGTTTTAGCGTTTAGGGTTGAGGGTTTTAGGGTTGAGGGTTCTAGGGTTTTAGGGTTGGGGGTTTAGGGGTTTCAGGGTTCGGGCATGAGTTCCTATGTGTTACTGTCCTCCACTTAGCAAGTCCCAAATAACGTGGCAGTTTCTATTTCCTTCTCTATTCCCCTATGTAATCCCTGGATTCCTCCGTGTCCATAGCATTGTCCATTTGATTTTCAATGCTACTGTCATTTCCATTAGATTCTCCATTCTAGAAATTCCCAGGTTCTTTTCCATGGCTTCAGTCCCTGCTGACAAGAAGTAACCACATCCACTTCGCATACACTTCCCGTTTCCATTTATTTTCCAGTTTCTTTTCCACTTGACTTGTTTCTCGAACAATTACATCATTGGGGCAATATCCCCGTAGAATCCCTATGTAACCCTCATGTTAAGTCGTTCAAGGTTAAGGGCCTCAGGGTCAAAGCTGTGATTTAGTGCCGGTGGGTCGTAGTCTAGGCTCTGACACAGGGCATTATGTGGCCTTGTGTTTGCGTCATAGAGGGTTCAAACATATGGTAGTTTCCCAAAATAGGGGGACCCAATATAGACCCCCAAATATTATAATCCTTATTATTGGGACCTCCAAAATGGTACCCCTAATTTTTGGTAAACCCCCCTACCACCCCAATGATGGAGAACTGAGATGGAAACTCAGGCTATCTCCAGGTTTAGGGGTTTAAGGCTCAGGGACTCAAGGGTTAGGATCCGCGGTTTAGGGTTTATAGGGTTTACGTAGGGTTGAGGGTTTAGGGTTTCGGTCAGGGGTAGTCTCAAAGTCGAATCGCATATACCCAGAACAAATTCATCCAGCAAGGCATTTCAGATTCATTTCTACGTTTACCGAGGTTATCACGCTTCTTATTGCAAACTTGCATTGCACCCATCGTGCCGTAAACCCCAGAAAATCCTCAACCCCGAAGCCCTAGCTACTTGATGCGCAAGTCATTGTCTAAGGTTGAAACCATGGGCCCCTAACATCGGCACTCTAGCCTTGGACATACCCTAATGTGCCCTCAAGGGTCCCTAGAATCACCCTGAAGGGCCTCAGGGCGCATACTAGGTGTGCATACGCATAATCTTAAAACCCTACACATAGTACTTTCCATTTTCTTTTCCACTCCCCTATATACTCCAAATCCCTATAGAACCTTTATATTGCTCTACATACTCCCTAAAGAATCCATATATAATCTTCATATTCCCCTACATATCATGGTAGCGCCTCAGGATGGCGTTCATAGTCGCGGGGCTGTGATCAAGTCGCGGCTTGCGCTGGCCGTCAGCAGCATGGACTGTTTTTATTTTCGCGCTTACTTACTGGTGGTTAGTAGGGAATGAGGGAATATATTATAAAGGGGTCATGTAAGGATTACATTCCCTTGTTCCCCACTCAGCACCAGTAAGCGTAGGGGCTGAGAGGCTTAGGTTTTACAGTATTGGCTTTCTGGGGGTTTGGAGCTTTTGGGGCACAGGGTCTTGTGCACATGTCTTTGGGGCTGCCATGAAGATTTCAACGACCTTAGGGTGCTTGCTGGGCATGACAGTCTTTTGAGCTGAGGTTTTAGAATCAGGATATCTTGTAAGTTGAGGTTTTTCAATCAGGATGGCGGCCAGTGTCTTTACATTGCACTGGAGTTCTTGGAGAAGACTTTGAGGTTTCATGGTCATGTTATCAGCGCGGCCTTCTGTTGTCCTTGTCGGTTGGAGGTCTTTTGGGATGCGGCCCGGGGACCTGAAGAAGGGTTTCAGAGGATTGCACCCTGCTTTGGGAATGTTAAGCCTACGTAGCTACACTACGGTGGATACTGAAAATCCTGCAGGACCCTAAGTACCTTACACCGTGGGGAAATAGGGTACTATGGTATATTAAGGTCATGCAGGTTTTTTAGTATCAACAGTATTACTGCTCTAGATGTGTGAGGCATAGTCTAAACCTAGTATCCCCCTTAATAACCCCTATAGTAGTCCCCTATATAATCCCCTATATAACCCCCTTTAAGGAGTTTAGACTATAGCTCCTGTAGGCTTCTGAGTCGGAGGCATCGGCTTCACTGACAGGAAATCCCCAAACCCAACATAGGTCTTTGTATGCGTGAGAACTTGGGGCAAAGGCAAATCCATTGGGGAAAGGAAGCTGGGAGTTTGGGCTAGAACACACTTGCTTTTGTGCAGTCTGTGAGAAGTCTATCCAGAGCTTTTGAGCGCCTGGCCTGCTGGCTTGAAGTGTCAGGAAATATAATAATCCCTATATAACCCTACTATAATAGTTTCCATTTTATTTTCCATTATTCCAATATAACCCCAATATACTATATTAATAAGATTAATATGAATAACACCGCTCAGACCTTGGTTCAGGGCTAACAGCGGCTAGCAATTCCCTTCATGAGCTGGGAAAGTAAGGCGACGACATCGGGGTGATGTTGAAACCCGTCTTCGCGGATCATGACCGCTCCGGTCACGCTGAGCGCGCCGCCTTGTTGTCCATTCTGTCGACTTTGAAGAGCTGATACTTACTTGAGGGCTATGAGGTGATGATGGTGTCTAAGACAGCCATGACATCCGTGTTTTCTTGGCGCACTGCTTGGCGGCATTGCTCTCGTGCTCACCTGGCTCATGGACTATGGCGTGCCACCATCCTGCCCGCGCGAGCGAGTCGAGCGCGGAGCTGATGGCGCGCAATCACACAAATACAGAAGTAGGAGCATTTCATGCGACATGTGGTCGCAGAGTCGCAATGCGGCACTGATTATGGTGCTCTGCGACCCAACCTGCTTCCGAAGAAGCTGAGAGTATTCTGAACTGCGCCGTAGATGCGCAGAACGGCGATCTGCAGAGCATTCGGGATCAGCCACTCTTTTTGAAGGAGCTGTGCCTCGATTCTGCCTGGTCAATAAGGTTAGATGCCTCGTCTACATACAGCCAGATCCCTCTGGGAGAGCCGTAGTTTGCAAGCTCTGGGGCAAACAGTCCTCCAGTCCTTCATGGCGCCATAAGTCCTGCCTGAAGGGGAAGATCGTAGTTTTGCAATGCCTTTCACAGGAGGCCGTGCGAACTAAAAGCCGCGAATGGCCGTGGAGTTGGCTTGCCGGCGACACTCTGAGCTGAGACAGCTTACTGGGGGAAGCTGGGATTTGCGAGATCTTGCTTCCTATTGCTTTCAAGACTTCGTACTTTTCGGCACAACCCCCTGTGCCACAGTGAAAGCTCGTTTTTTGAGAAGCGGAAAACGGAAGGGCCCATCAGTTTCATAAAGCCGCTAGCAGCTAGCATTCCTGCATTTCATGTGGCTGAGGGCTGTGCAGCCAATATATGAAGTTGTCGCAGCGGCGGTTGCCCCCAGGGCTTATATTTTGGTGAATGTAAACAGGCAAAACTGCGGCATAGTTACTTGTTTCCGTAGCCCGCCAACCTGAAAACCGTGAGAAAATCATAATATAGTAGTTTCCATTTCTTTTCCATTATCCCTAAAGCCCCAATATATACCCTACTACACTGTAGTGGTTTCCATTCTATTTTCCATCATCCCTATGTAACCCCATATAACTAAGATTTCCCCTATATAACCCAAATATACTACCCTTTATATTCCCTAGTTTCCATTTCATTTTCCATTTTCTTTCCTATTTGATTCTCCAATATACCCCTATATATACCCTATATAATCCCGATAATCATATAGTAGTTTCCATTCTATTTTCAACCCTAAACCCTAAACCCTAAACATTATATTCTAACGGAGGGGGGGGGGGAGCTGAGCTCGTTTTGCAGCATCGGTTCTTCAAGGATCAGGATGCTGGGGTTTCCGAAAGTTAGGGGGATATATAGGGATATGTAGGGGTTTAGGGCTTAAGGGTTTAGGGTTTAGGGTTTAGGGCTTCCCAAAAATTAGCGGTGCCCTTTGGGAGTCCCCATTCATAAGGATTAGAGTATTTTGGGGTCTATATTGGGGTCCCCCCTATTTATGGAAACTACCATACTTGTTTCGTGCGCGGCTTGCTTTGTGAACAGTTTTGTTCAGCTTGGTTTTCTTGAGCTTGCTGTAAACACATGTTTCCTTCCACTTTCCAACTTGCAGCACGAGCTAGAAAGCCCATACCTCCTTTGTTATTTTTAAGATTGGCCCATCCTGCCGAAGATGCGACGCAGAACTAGGTCCTGGACACATCCGCAGATAGCCTTGCCCGACGCTCAGATACGTTTTAGAGCCTCCTTGTAGCTGTGGATGCGCCTTCCGTGCTTTCTTGAGCTCAAAGCTTAAGGGCTGAGAGCCGGAATGCAACTGGGAAAGCTGGGTCTAGGGCTAGGGCAGAACCGGGTTTAGGGATTTAGGGTTTAGGGATTTAGGGTTTAGGGTTTAGGACAGGGAAGCAGGGGTTGATTGTGGGCCGGAATGATGGGCAGGGGCATCAGGCTGGCTGGGAGGCCGACCTGAAGCCATCAAAGGCTAAGTTCTGCCGTGCTCGTCTTGGACGGACGACTCGTGGATTCTAAGCGCTGCACCCATAACCCCCCCCCCCCCCAGAAAAAAACTAAACCCGTTGCCTGAGTAGGACTGCATTTTCGTAAGCCTTCCTATTCTCGCTTGTCCTGGTAGCAGCCTTGATTCATGGATTAACTGCACATCGGAGCTCGGCAGTTGCTCTGCCCAGGACAGCTTCTTGTCGCAGAGCTGCGGCTCAAGACAGGCCTTCAACAGCAAACGCACCCGTCCTGAACAAATTGCTCCTCGGGATGTTTTGTGCTTCTTTTTGCACTTGCTGCCCAACCATGCCGGCGCCATCCTCACGCGAGCAGTCGGACCCTGAAGGATTTGTCACCATCAGCGTACGACTTCTCTCCGGCAAGACCTTGGTGAACCTAAGCGTGGCCGACCACATGCAAGCGGATGAGCTTTGGCTTCAGGCTGGGGGGGGGAAGGTGTAGCAGAACTCATCCTTGTCATCATGCTCATTGCTATCTTACTGGTGCTGTTACTACCTAAGGTCGCTTCGCAGGAAGTCTTTTGTTCGGTGTCTGACACCCCTCTAGATGACGAGCGCGCATCAGCCAAATTCAAGGCTTTACCACGCCTCATGAAATACGTTTTGGAAGGTAGGATCTTTGTTGTTGGCAGTTGGCAAGGTGCAAGCTGATGCGACCTCACAGCTCACGCACGAAGGATGCTGCATCCGTTCCTTGCTGTGGGGTGCCAATGTACTCGCTGGGAAACAAACTCTGAGGGATCTTGGCATGCACGGCCAGCAGGAAGTGGTTGCTGTAACCTCCGTTGGACTTGAAGGCACTTTTGAGATATTTCGCCCGCCGTGCCCGTGCAGCGACTGCTACAGGCGCCGCGCAGAGCGCATGCATTTTGATCTCTCCGGCATGGCCTCATTTACCTCTTCGCTTCGGGACTACTTCAAAGGTGACCATGCAGAGCAGGTTCGCACCTTCAAGTACACGCTTGGCGAGGTCGAGGAGGTCGAGGGCGAATCGCCAAATCTCCGGCGCAGCTTATCGCTGGAAGAACTTTCCACGGACTCAGTGACAGACATCCCCTGCATACTTCAGGGCTGGCTGTTCCTAGATGCAGATGATCCCATCAAGCGCAGAGTGCACCTCAGTGGCTTCAAAAGGCCCGACGACAATGGCTCGACCAGTGAGCTAGTGCTGGAGGACCTCCAATGGCTGAAGCAGCGCGCCAAGGATGAGGCCGAGAGGCCCTTGTGGTGGCTTGAGCAGTCCTTTAGAAGAAATCAAGCTGAGCTGATGAGAGAGGAGATCTGGAACCCAGAATTCCTCTACGACGAAGAGCAGCTGTACAGGCGTATATTTGCGAGGCCGAGGTGCGCGAGTGAGCACTTTGTGCACCACCAGCGCCCAAAGCCCAGGCACGGGCGCCGGAGTCACTGCTTGTGTGGCTTGGCATGCCAGGGCCGCAAGAGCCAGTGGAAGTGTCGGAGCCAAAGAGATGTCTGGGCCGAGGCCAAGCGAGCTTGCACGATCATGCGCAGGGCTGAGAGGGCCCTGAAGATGGAGGCCAGGGAAGCGACTGAAGCGGCTTCGTAAGGCAGGAATCTTGCTGTTACAAGTTCCCGCACACAAGCTCCACAAAGTTCAATGTGTACAGTGTACAGTACTGTTCTTGCACGGAGCTCCTGGGTTCTGTTGGGCCTACGTTCAGGTTTCAATACCAATGGCATAGTAGTTTCCATTCCATGTTGCATGTTCTTTGCCACTGGTTCTCTGTCACTACTTCTCCATTAGCATTCGAATATTGGTACTGTTGAAGGCCGTCAAATACTGCGTGCCCAGCATCTCAGTGGAACTTGGGGCTTGGTGCGCTGTGAAACCGGCTAGAGAAAAATCCCAGTGAAGGGCCTGCGTGGTTTTTGCAGACTGGCCTGTGTGAAGAAGCAGATGATGATTACGATTATGATGGTGATGGATTCGTTTTAGAGGATGCCAAGAAGAAGCAGTCAGTGCTCTCGGAGCTTTCAGCTAGCAGCTAATTCCTTCAAAGCTGTTTTTCAAACGCGGAGTTGAAGGCACTTGGGGTTCAGAAATCGCTGGTCTCACTGTACATGGGCTGGGTGAAGAAGCGCCTAGGCAAGTCACAAGGGGGCAGCGGTCCAGGCAAGGATTAGTTGATGCTGGCTCCCCTAGTATGCTCATGACCATACCATACCAATACGCTCTAGTTGCGGCGAAGTCTGACACTCGCCTTTCAAAGGTTCGAAGATATCCTAGACGAAGTCGCGTCGGTGCCTCAGTTTGCTGAGGGTGTAAGAGCTTATGTCTTGGATGCTCTCACTCAACAGAACATGTCGTAAGTGGGTTTCTTATGGGCGGTCAGAAGGGCTACAATCCTAAGCCCCAAAATCTAAACCTGGAGCCCTATGTGGGGAGTCCCCAAAATGAGGGGTACCATGCGAGGGGTCCATATGATACGGACTATAGTATTTTGGGGTCACCCTATTTTGGGAAACTACCATTTGAGCTATAGTCTAAGCTCCCTAAAGGGGTTATAATAGGGGTTATTAAGGGGGATACTAGGCCTACTAGGCATCTAGACCACGGCTCATACACAGGGACCCGTACACCCGGACCTTAAATCCCAAATCCTAAACCCCAAACCCTAAACCCCCCTAAACCCCAACCCCTAAATCCTAAACCCTAAACCCCCCTAAGCCCCAACCCCTAAACCCTAAAACCTAAACCCTAAACCCCCCTAAAGCCCAACCCCTAAACCCTAAGCCTTAAACCCTAAACAGCGAGGTCATGGCCAACGGACGTAACCGCGGAGGATGTCTACCGGCGCCGCGCTGTCTTTTATGCTTCTTTAGGGCCCAGCTGAGCCATAGTCTAAAGTCCTTAAAGGGGGTTATACGGGGAATTATATAGGGGATATATTGGGATAATGGAAAAGAAAATGGAAACTACTATTTAGGGTTTAGGGTTTAGGGTCTAAACTCCTTAAAGGGGACTGTATAGGGGAGCATTATAGGGGTGTATGAAGGGGGATACTCCTACAATGAAGGAAGATTCCATCCATCGCATGATGCAGAGTGTGTGTTCAGTTCGGGGGTTAGGGTTAAGTCCCGAAACCTGGCCTGGTCTCTTGGATCATTCGAATAGTTTCACGCCGGTCTCCGAAAAATGGCCCCTCCAGCGCTATAAAACATGCCCACCTACCCCATATTGCATACTCCAGGATGATATGAAGTGCTTCAGTGGGAAGTATTCAAGAATTAGAGGGGTCTGTGCTTGGGGGCTTTGAGGGCTAGAGTTCATGGAGGAAGTAAGTGGATATGCCATGGCCGTGGGCATGAAGACTGTGATGCTGGTTTTGTGGCATGGCCAGATGGGAAAATCCTCATATCTACGGAGACAGAAAAAACCTAGCTGAACCCTTAATCCTAAATCCAAAACCCTGAATCCTAAACTCCCAACCCTTAAACCAGCGATCTTCGACTCCTGCAAGCCTTCCTCCCCAATTGGAGGTCCCATGCATGGACCCTATGATAGACCCAAATAGACTTTAAAAAGGCTCCTGGTTTTTGTAAACGCTAAACCTTATGTATCCCTATATAACCGTGTATAATTAACCGCTATATCTCCACACAACCCCTTTACCCCATCAGTGCAGAGGCGCCCAGTGACTTCTGCACGGAGAACATTCAAGTTATGTCCAGGTTGCAAACTAAACCCCCTTTCTATTATGCATAAAACTTTGTGCATCGCAATGTGTTTGCCTCAGTTAGGATCCGTAAGCCCTAAGCCCTTAGCCGCAACAAGCTATGTGAAAAGTACAAAGGAATTAGGGTCCTGCAGCCAGAAGCATGTTGGCAGATCTTACCCTCACCTCAGGTCGGCCTGCTCAGGTTGCTGGGTTGATGTTCAGGAACTCAAAACTAGGTTACAATAAAGTCAGTATATGGTAAATAATCGGATTCCTGAGTATTGTAATATAATTCAAGTCCCTGTACAGCAACCCAGAAAATTGTCAAGGGCTCTGGGGAAAGCATTTTTCTTCCGTAGTATGGCCCCCAATGCACCAGAAACCCTTGAAATAAACCATCAACCTTTGTGGTGCTTTAAGGGAAAATACTCCTTACATCGCATATTCAAATTCCCCTATTCCCTATTATAACCCCAATATATACCCTATTATAATGTAGTCGCTTCTATTTCCTTTTCCCATTATCCCTATAAGATATAATCCTGTTCCCTGCTTACTGCCAGAAAGCAACCGCGCAACCGCCAATCGTTCTGAGGCGCAGCTGGAGTTATTTACAGAAAGCCCAGGCTTCAGCCACGAAGGCTCTCAGAGCCAGACATGCCTGCCGTTTAGGGTTTAGGGTTCAGGGCTTAGGGTTTTGTATGTCGGTTTCAGGGCCAAGGGTCTAAGGTTCAGGGTCCAGGGTCTAGGGTTTACGATTCAGGGTCTAGGGTTTAGGGTTCAGGGTTGATGGCTTAGGGTTTAGGGTTTTGGGTTGGCGTAAAGGGTTTCCCTACGTTACTGGGGCTTGGCAGGAAGTAAGGGAATGTATTATGTAGCGGTTATATCCCCTTATTCCCTACTACCCTCCAGCAAGTTAAGTTCATGATGTTCATCAGTCCTCCTTTTCCATGGGCTCCTACTAGTAAGGTGCCAAACTTCTGAGGGCATGTGAATGGAGATTCACGTCGATAGATACCAGACTCTCCGCCAATAATGCTTGCACGCAAATACCTCGAAGTTTTCTGTCCCCATATCGCAACTACGACCCTAGTATCTTGAGGCGGCAGTTGTGCAGTATAAGAAATTCAGTGGTCTCCAGTACTTGTTTTTGCCGGTCACGGAGGTGTCGGTACTCTTTTAGGGTCAGGCTCCTGAAGGTTGGGTCAGAAGGTCGGACTTGGGAGGTGTTCGGCGTTTAGAGTTCCCTGGCAGCCCTGTAGCGTGGGAGTTCATCAGAGCTAAGGGTTTCAATTTATGCTCGCCTGCGCAGAGACGTGAATGTTCACTGATGGGTGTCAGACGCTTCGTAGACAGATTTAGGTGCTTTGGCCTTTCATAGCCTTGATGCCTTCTAATCCCTCATGACTTCCCAGGAGAGTGCGATATGGGATATGCTCAAAATGGGACCCGACATGGCCCTGTCCTGGTTTATCTCCTTTTCCCGTGCATCCACGACTCCTGAGCACCCCCCTCGACACAAAACCGTCCACCCTTATCATCTAACCTAGACCCTACATCCTAAAGCCTAAATCCTAAACCCTAAACCCGTAGTCTTCAGCTCGGCAAATTGCCGTTTCCAAACCTGACCTCAACCCGAACTGGCTGAATTGGTGCACGTAGATGTGGAATTCCTTGCTGAATTTCTCCAATGTGGCCAGATACAGATTTGTCAAAGTAGCATCTTCACCACCCTTCAGGGGACCCCTGTACCTTCCTACTATACCTCCAAATATAGAATCCCATATGTATATATATATGTGTATATATATATATATATCTCTCTCTCTCTCTCTCTCTCTATCTCCCTCTCCCTAAGGCCCCAAGGCCCCAAGCATATATATGCATATATATATATAGACATATATAGATATATATATATATATATATGGGCTCGGGAATCTACCCCCCCTTACGTTTCGTAGCTTTCTTTTAGCGATTCCATAGAGAGCTCACTAATCTTCTTAGGATTCACACAATTAACAAGGGGGCTTTGGTAACCCCAACCCCCAAAGTAAGGACCCTATAACCATCATATGATAGTCATAGGGTCCTAATTTTGGGGGTTGGGGTTACCAAAATTATTTCATTAAAAATTATTCCACTACATCTATAACCCTCATCTTCCTACGTCTCAGCTGTCGAATAGATGCATGACATGAACACCTTGCATGAACAAAACTTGCATACAGCTGACTAAATACTGACTTGCAAATTTGAAATTCAATTTACCTGTTTGTGAATGTTCCCAATCACTGTGAAGCATTCTTCCATAATCTCACGATGCAAAGAGTATGACATTTCTTTTTTATGTAAGAATCCAAATTAGTATCATTTACAATATTCCAACGATTTCCGATCCCAAATCCTTAGCCCTGCATTTTTCCAACGGACAAACATTTACGAAATTACCACAAAATATGCAGTGTTCTCTGCTGTTAAGCTACTCCTATTTCCTTACAAAATTCCCTAATGGAATATACTTCAGATTGAAAGGGCGTTGCAAATCCTGAGCTTCTTGTTCACACAAACCCTTTCTACATGGCTTTGATTAAGCTCCCTGTAAACTTGATGCTTCAAAATTACAAGAAGAATTACTAATTCCAAGGTTTTCCTTCTTCACCATATAAATTCCTCACTACATACATGTGTTGCAAATTCTAAACAGAAACTCTGAAATCCCAGGCCCCTGTTCGCGTTATTCTCTATGTACAGATCCCATACAGATATTCCAAATGTAAAGAGGAATTCCCAAGTCTTGGGCTTCTTCTTTTCT